TGTGTATTTTAAACTGTGGTCCAGAAATCCAAATCCCACTTTCACATGCCATCTTTTCAGCTGGTAAGTCACTTCCCAGGTCTACTGTTATTCCATCTATCTATATCTCTCCCGTTTCCCTCTGGACTTCAGTTTCTTGCCCAGACTTTTAAATCTTTGGCAATGGTTTTTCGCTTCCTTTGGAAGCTAATTTCAGTGACCAGAAGTTGTTAGTAGTTATTTACAGTCCTAGGGAAATTTTAAGATACCCACCCTAGGATGATAATTGACCTCTCTGTGTTATCAGGCCAACAAAAAGAGGCCTCAAATACCTCTCAGCCCAAGGAATCTCCAACAGCCGCTGCTGTTCCCTCCTTCCAGTGTGATTTTCAGAAGAGTGGATACAAAATAGAAAGTGATTTCTGCGGGTAAAGGCACGGGAAATTGGGGGGAGATTGAGTCAGCTTCCCCTAGGACATGGCATGTGATGTGAACTTGAAGGAAAACCAGAGACTGTAGGAGAGAGAGGTGAGAAGGGATTCCAGGTGTGAGAGCATATCTGCCAAGGCACAGAGGCAGAGGATGCCAGATGCCTTTTCATTGTAAGTGATTGATGAACCCTGGTACCAACCAGTTACTTTCATTTTGAGTTGTTAAATATTGAAGCTTCAGAAACTGTTCTAAAAAGTGGTATGACCCACGGTGAGGGTGAGTGGGTGATCTCTTAGAAAATGGGCTTACTGGGGCAGCTAAGTGGTGCAGTAGATAGAGTTCTAGCCTTGGAGTCAGGAGGACCTGAGTTCAAATTCAGCCTTAAGACACTTGAAACTTACTAGCTGTGTGACCCTGGGCAAGTCACTTAACCCCCATTGCCTCACCAAAAAACAAAAACTGTTTTAAAAGAAAATGGACTTACCAAAAGGAATTCCTAAAATCTCTTAGAAAAGGTGCTCAGTGTACAGAAGATATTTTGGCTGGAGGACAGCTTTCTATCTCCTCAGCTACATGAGAAATGTTTCTAATGCAAAGACTCGTTAGCATGCATCACCACTAACTCCAACTACAGAACAATTAGCCCTTCATACTTACTCTGCTCTCCTGAGGGGTAAAGACAAATTTGGGGCGCTCCTGACCAGAGATTTCACAGCCGTCTTGGGTCTGTACTCTCCGAGCAGCTCACAAGGTCGGGATCTTTTGGCCAGTCAGACACGGTTCTTTGGTCCTTTCGGATTCGGGATGAGCCTCTCAGTGATCATCTTCTCTGAAAAGTGGTATGCCTGTGGGAAGTACCTCCCAACAGGGAGCAAGCGCCAGTTAGGGACCTCGGCACTCAGGCTAAAAGGTGGCTGCCACTGCTAGAAGCGCCCTTAGCAGGATCACTGCTCACTGGCTGCAGCCTGTCTTTAGGGAGGAAGACCCAGAGCCGATGAGGACGGCTCTTTTGGGATGACCTATTCTCCTGCTCCGTGCTTTTAGCCAATATCCCCCACGACCGCGGAAGTCTAACGCAGAGTTGACAGAGGCCCAAAGCTGTGCACTCAAACATACCCTCCTTAGCGCAGTGCCGGGCACACAGTCGGCACTTAATAAATGTTTATTGACTGACTTATCCAGCATCCTCAGTGGGCAGCTCTCCCTGCTTCAGTCTCCAGTTATCTTTGACATGGCCCTCCAGATACAGATGCCATTAAAGGGTTGCTACATCGTCCCAGAAAGGGGCCGTAGCACATTCCTAATTCAAAAAGAACGCGTCTGTTTGGCAAATTAGGGAGCTCCCTGACCAGCCCTGTTCGCATTGGACTATTTCAGCACTGGGCAGTTTATAGCCTTAAACACGTATCAGTGTATTAAATAAATACGTGCATACTGATACAACTTCTGACATGCTGTTACTGACCTTCCCTTTGGTGTTAGCACCAGTCCAATATGTTTACAGTTTACACTTTTCCCTTACTGAAGCATTTATTTTGCCATCCAATGGACGTGTATTATCAGGGTGTTAGTTTTATAGGCTTATGTGGAAGGATAAGGAGTTAGCATTTTTCTTATATAAATTCTCGGTATAGAGACGGAACCCCCTTTGTAGCATGCTAGCGCTTTGCTTTAGATCTGAATGTCAGCACAGAAGCAGTGAGAACAAGGGTCAGGGCTCTTTTGTATTGTGCAGCTTTCCACTGGATCCTTGTGCCGCTTAAACTCGTACCACAGGTGCACACGTTTCCATTTCGAGGTCAGATAAAACTGACAATTATCAGAGCTTGTCATGAACGTTTTTTAACTTGTGAGTAGTATAGTCATTACAGGTTCATGTCAAAGCTTAAAGTAAACTCAGGCAGAAGATTAGGTCTGTGGTGTCAGTCTTGAAGTATTTCCAGTTACGTTATGTTTGTAGTGTAAGTTAAACTCTGCTGTTCATTCGAATACTTATCCATGATAATGAATTCTTAAACTGGGTTTTTAAAAACAGCTGAACAGTTCACAGAAATAGGAATGTCTAAATAGAGAATATATATGTATGTGTGTGCATTTCATATATACATATATATATATGGAGAGAGAGAGGAGACAGAATTCACTTTGGTAGCTATTATTGTTTTTCCTTACTATATACTCTAATTCCAGTCTTCAAAGAGTAGAAGTAAACTTACATTATTTTTTTAAATGCATACCAAAACAGCTGTTCAATTACTTGTTCAGTTGTGTCTGACTCTTCATGACCCCATTTGGGGTTTTCTTGGCAAAGATGCTGGGGTGGTTTGCCATTTTCTTCTCCAGCTCATTTTGCAGGTGAGAAAACTGAAGCAAACACAGTTAAGTGACTTGCCCAGGGTCACCCAGCTAGTAAGTATCTGAGGCCAGATTTGAACTCATGAAGATGGTCTTCCAGCTTCAGGCTGGGCACTCTATCCACAGCAACACCTAGTTAGTTACTTACTTGCTCACATACTAAAGTAGTGACCTTGTGAAGGTCCAAGATTGTATTAACAAATATTACCTCTGCTGTTGCTGCTGCTGCTGCTGCTGCTGATGATTTTATGGGATTTTTAAGGGAAGAGAATGTGTTAACTGTTACTGTTAAAATGTCCCCCATTTCCCAAAACCATCTCTGAATATCCCCCCAAATTTCTGGCTATTTCAAAAGCTGTTAGTTGGATGCATCAAAGGTGGCAGGTACACTTTTAGAGAGGATGGAAATTGACCTTGTAACTTGGACTCATTATGACAAAAAGTGGTCATCTTAGCATTGAGTCATTTGAAAACTGGGTTTGTAGAGGGAGGAATCTTACTTTTTTTTCTTTTTACTTTTCTAAAAAGGTTTAAAAAAAACAAAACAATTTACCTTTGTGTACCTCTGAGAATATAGTAACACGCCAAATTCCAAGAGGAATCATTTCTCTTTACTCTCTATCCAAGTGGTCCATTCTACCCAACTTGATTCTGCTCTAACTCTAGTAATTGTATGTATCTGGGTTCCCCATAATCAGATACCCAGTTTGCTTGTCAACTGGTCCTACACATGCCTGAATAAATAAGATGGTGAATTAGAGAGGTATTTCCTTTCTGTTTCCGTGACTGGTTTAAAATTACCTTCAATCTAGGCAACCCCAACACAGGCTAGATCCCGTCCTGAAAGTTTCTGTAAGCAGTTTTTAGGCCTTTATATGTGCCTTTCTTTTTTAGGCTATTATCTTGTAGTAAATAACTGGTTTTCCCTATTTTCCAGTATTTCCCCAAAGCACTTAGTAAAATATTTTGTACAATGGGTGAAGAATTAAAATGTTGACTGATTTATAAAGGTCTAGGCATGCTACCCTGAATCTGGCTAGTGTGTTCATTGTACCAAGAACATCTGTTGTAACTTCAGATCACCTGAGGTTTATTCACTCAGAGCGAATCATGAAATTACCTACCTAGATCATTTTTCTGGGTCCTGAGAATATGCAGGTGATCCTGGGAAATCTTGTCTAATTGAGCTAGTTTTCATTTTTTCCGTCTCCAGTGCCTAGCAGAGTGTCTTGCACATAGAGGTGCATATGCAGTGTTTGTTGAATTCAGTTGGATGTGAGATTTTATGAGAAATGAGAATCCTAAAGTAAAACGAGTGTGCTTTTTATTTTTGTGACTTCGAGGCTGATTACCAAGATATTAGGTGTACTAGATAATGGATATTCTTAACAATCAGACATAGGTATGTTCTGCAGTATTTCCCTTTGGGGCTTATGTTATATGGTCATTATGCAAAAATCTGGCCATCCTCAATGATAAGATCAGCTTACCTAATTATAGAAGATATTTAAGACTACTCAAAGCCGTAGTTAGCAGTATTTCAAAGTGTTTCTGCCCTTCAGTTGTTTTTTGAATGGCCTCGAATGGTTTTTAAATTTGAATAGGTTATCCAGCCTTTAGATTAGATGACCTCTAACCCCAAAATTCTATGATTCTAAAAATGGACCCATTTCTATATGTGGGCTAGAACGTAGCATGCATCTAAAGAACTTGCAAAGGCTCTTGGCCGACAGTAATTGGAAAACAGATTGTTCCTAGGTTAATGCTCTTGTTCTCAATCTAATGATTTAAATTTAACTCCTTACTTGGCATTTTAAACATGTTAAGAGTATTTATTAAACCTGTCAAAAAAGGTAAGTTGTATTTTTGTGTGTTTACTCTTTTGTTCCCAAGTTTCAGGTTTTTTAAAACAATCTTTTGAAATTCTGAGTCCTTAATCAAATTTAAAAAACCATCAAGTTGTGAACTGAGATATCAAAGTTAGTCTGTTTAATTTTTTGAATTTATTAACGGACATTAATTAATGGACTTGGGATTTTTAAATTTATATTTTTGAGAAAATGAATACACCAAAATAACATTTAGTTGTTAGCATTAAAATTATATGTGTGTGTGTGTTTGCTCAGTTTTGTTAAAAAAAAAAAAAAAGTGAAGATAACTGGGGGTAAGGATTATATAATTCAGGACCCAGTATAAAGTTGGTAAACTATATAATTTTCTTTTTTACTTGGTAGTACTTCAGAAGGCAGGAAGAAATCCATCCCAAAAGACGATTGATAAGTACTGGACTCCTCAAACTGCTAAGCTGAATTTTGACGATTTTTGTGCAATTTTAAAAAAGGAAAAACCTACTTCAAAATCAGAACTGTTAAAAGCGTTTAAGAAAATAGATGTAAATAATGATGGCTATATTTTACACACTGACCTCTATAAAATTCTTACAAAGGTAAGCCCTGTGAAATCACTTTTTTTCCTAATCTGTTTTAGGAGAAATGGGTCAGATAGGCCCATTTCTGCTATAAAAAATTTTTGAAACTCAGCTTTGTCGACCATTTGCATCCATATCAGAGCTAACTGCACTTGAGCGGTAAGAGAAATGAATCACACAGATGTTGTTCTAGATAGAGTGCTGCGGGATCCTTCTGAGTGAAAGGTGTTTTGTAAATGAAAGCTGAAGTAGCCGCTTGGGCCCGTGTTGCGGTTTCCTTTGTGCCTCTGAGTAAGTCTTTGCTGCGCAGCTCTCTGAACGTCAGTGATCGATCCATGTGGGAAGGAGAAACAGCATATACAGAAATTGGAACCAGAAGTCATTTTGTGGTTGGCTGTAGCATTAGGAAGTATCATTACTCCAGGTGCGAGGTCGTATTTTATTTGATCTGTAATATTCGATCGTAATTTGTAAACAGAAATTGAACGCAAGTGCAAAGAATTTGATAGTGTTATTAAGTAAGTGATAACACAAAACGGCTTTTGTACTTGGAGGTCATCTGCTAAATGGCTCCTACCCTTTTACAAACATCAGTTTCCAAAATTTTTCATTGCTACTCTTTTCATGGCTAATTATAAAAATATTATTTCTCTAAACTGATATATTTTAAACTAAAAAAATTTGGACATTTTGAAATCGAATTTGTTTTCACAGAGAGGTGAGAAAATGACACCAGAGGAAATGAATGCTATAATAAACTTGGCTGATATAAATGTTGATGGCAAACTTGACTATATTAAGGTATGTGTTAAGTAAGCTTATGTATAGGTAAACTTGCAATATTGGTGAGGAAAGAATATTGTGATAGGGCAGGTATCCTTTGAAAGTTTGCAGAACCTGCTATATATTGTTAACCAATTTATTTTAGGTTGAATATGTCTTCGGTTTCAGATTATTTCATGTCATACTCTGGCACAATAATTGTATTTTTTAAAAAATGTAACAGGAGTTCTAGAAACCTATAAAAACTTATCAGAAATGCAGCTTTTCAAGAAAATAAAACCATAAAAATTATTTAGAACAAACCCGAGTCTGCACATGTCTTATAAAAAAATAATAAATCAACTCTCAGGGTGTACCACATTTTATTTTCACTCAGTGTGACCTCCTCATTGAATCATGGCTGCATTTCCCCAGGTCACTTGAGAGTGGTCAATCTGATCCAAGAAAATAAAATGAGTAACTCAGTTCCATTGGAAATGTCTTCCATCTATCAGTCTATCCCTTACCTACTAATGTACATTTCTCCCTCCCCTTCCTAAAATGTATGACAGAACATTTTGCCCACTGGATTATTTTTCTATTTTCCATAGTTTTGTAAATTATACGTGGCAACCAATGAGCAGTGTCTCAAGACTGCATTAGAAAAACTGGAAATTGATAGTAAAGTGAGGCTTCAGCAATTAGGAAGTCACCCGGAAGCATCTCCTGAGAGTGGCGTATCCCCGAGAATCCCAAGGAGTGTTGGTCAGGAAACCATGCTCAATAGAGGTATTTACTTTTATGGCTAATAATTTTCTGCTAAAGAAAAAAGGTTCAACTTAAAATACTTTTTAAAAAATCAATAATTCGGTATTAAACTTGAGCAAGATATTTGTTGTTGCTACCATTTATAGACACTTTTAGCCATAATCAAAATTCCATGAAAGTAAAGTTTATGATAGAACTCAGTTACGGTTGCAGTATTTTCTCTGGGAACAAAATTTTGACTACAAAGTAACAGTCTAGCTAAAGGCATATATTAGTATTATAAAAATATCCAGTGAGACTAGTTGTACAGACAGTTATATAATTGCTGAGCAAGTCACTTAGTCCATCTGTGCCTCAGTTTCTGCATCTGTAAAATAGAGTTCATTATGGCCTCTAAGGTTCTTTCCCACCCAATCCGTGATCTTGTGACCCCACTTTAGACAGTAATTACGTGACTCTTGCCTTCTTTTCCATAGGGAATACACAGAGAGGATTGCTCAAGTGGGTCGTTTATATTATTTGTGCATTAGAGACAAGATTCATATTGATAACCGTTCAAGAGTATGGTGAAAGAACAAAATTGAACAGTTATCAAAAATGTGTTACAGGGGATGGCCGGAATTCTTCTGTACAGTTACCAGCTCGAAAGCACAAATCATCTGTTTCTTTCAGTATCAGCATGGGGGCTAACAGCTGTAGAAACGCAAAGCTTCTGGAGCCAAACTCAGTAAAGGTAGGACATTTGAAATCAGAAATTGGGAGATTTTTTTGGTATTATTTTGTGGTATTTTTTAAACACTTCTGAGTCATTTATAGTGTTTCGGTGAGGTCTGCAAATTAATTCTTTGACATTTTTTATAGATGCATCAACATTTGCACTCTATATTTAAAACAGCTTGTTTTTAAAGTGGAAATGGTAAGTAATATTTTGATGAGAACTTTAAGGGTAATGTGATTTATTCTGCGTTGTTTTACCTGATTAAATAAATGCACCATTGATCCTAAAATACTTAATTTTATTTAACAAATAATTTATCTGAGTCCTTTCTTTTAAATAAATCACCCATTCAATATCAGTTCCTATGGGGAAAAGACAACAAAGTCACTTTGCTAAGTCAATATTTGTAGAGTGTTAATATTGATCTTTTTCTTTTGTTTTTCCTTTCTTGACTCAACCTTTACTAGTTTTCTTTCAACAGAAAATAATAGCTACAGAAATATAAAACATTAACTGGAAACTGCTAGGATACATTAAAAATGTGCACCTTGAGACCTCTGTTAAAGGGGGAAAAATGGTTATGACCACATAGTATAACTGCTGTTAGAAAACTGAACTGATTGTCCTCATGAGCTACATTTTGTTTCAAATAACAACTCTGTATTTGTTATTGAACTCTGAAGTCCCTTATATCTTTAGATTGCTACACAGTGACATTTGTTCTATATTAAAATTTTAGAACATTATCTCCACGGAATTGTTTTCAGTCTGTTTAGGAATCCATACCCCCCCCAAGCAATTTAGCGTGCATGCTCACCATGTTCAAACATAATATTTAGTGTCCAACAATGTGACACTTTCTACCATTGGAGCTTTCTTCTGTTTCCCAAACACAAAATGTTAAAATAAAATTCCGAGTACTATCAAAGATGATCTGTATCTAATGACCAGATTTATAATTAGTCACAGCATAGAAATGGAAAAAAAAAACATTGTAAAAAATGTCCTTTGTAAGGGGCAGCTAGGTGGCGCAGTGAATAGAGCACCAGCCCTGGCGTCAGGAGGACCTGAATTCAAATCTGCCCTCAGATACTTGACACTTACTAGCTGTGTGACCCTGGGCAAGTCACTTAGCCTCAATTGCCTAACATAATAATAATAATAATAATGATAATAATAATAATAATATCTTTTGTGAATACTAATAAGAATTTTCTCTCCATATCATCTTGTCATCTCCAAAATTTGGTTATTTGGTTCACATTATTTGGTCCACACCATTGACAATACATTGTCTTTGAAAGAGGAATTTAGTTCTCAAATAATTAGGATTTAAACCTAATGTTCATAACCATTATTTGTGATTATTCTTTTGTTCTAGAACTATAGTTAATCAGATGTTTGGGTTTGTTTTCCAGTGACATAATTGAGGTTGTAATACTGAAATCACGCCAGGACTTCCTCTAACCACATTTCCCTAATAGGGAATAGGAATAACCATGATTATACTAGATTCTGCAACACTACAGGTTGTCCTGTGGCGAAGCCAAGTTCAGAGACAGAGAACCGTGACTTAAGCAGTTATAGACCAAAATCAATTAGTTGTAGATAGGGTCAACAAGAAAATGATACAGGATCATTTTCCCAGTGGTTTGAAAGGGGCAGGGCAACTCTGGAGGGTGAGTATGCAGAGGAGGGCAGCCAGGTGGGTGAACATGAGGACCTCTCCAAGAAGACTCTGGAGTGCCCAAGAGCTGTGTGGGTCATTGTGCAGATTCCTGTGGTGTAGGGTGGGGCCACATCAAGGGGTCTCCAAGGCCCTTCCAGCTCTCACATTCTGCAATTCTGTGACTAGGAGAAGGGGAGCAGCTGCGTCTTCTCAGACGAAAATAGGAGATCCCGATAAAAGACGCAGAAGCCAAGCACTTTGAGCCCGTATCTGATCTGTGACCTTCTTTGTGTCTCTGGTCTGTGCACCTGTGCAGCTAATACTCCTGGGATTCTTGTCCCTCTCGGAGCATGCTGGACAAGGTGCAGTCAGCCTCCAGGGCATCCCTGGGCCCTTTCTGAGCTCCTGCTTCTCCTAGCTTCGTGGGTGGCAGGCTGCAGCCTGCTTCCATCCACCACTTCTCTTTCTCTTGCCTCTGGGCCACTGGCCACTGGGATTCCCCCGAGACTATGACATTGATTGCCTGTCTTATAGTACACAGTGATCTCTTACTTACCCTTTGGTCACAGCAGATGGTGAGAAAACACTTCCATCCAAATTGATGTAGTAAAGGCTACTGGCATTCCCTTCTGTGTGTGTAGGCTTCCCATGTCTACACATGGTATTTGCCACTATTTCAGGACGATTCCCTAAAGGTGTTGGAGTCCAACAGGTGCCAGTGTTTGTGGGTGACATTGTGGACTCTGAGCTGTATTTGGCAGAATCCATCTTATTTAAAAAAATCTGGAATTAGGGCTTTCTGCCTCAAGTCCCTCTGTCTCTCTCCCTCTCCATCTCTTTGTTTCTCTGTGTGTATTTTCTCCATCTGTATTTTCTTTCTTTTTCTAGCTCCCTGTCTCTACTTCCTTCTGTTCTTCTCTCTGTCTTTGCTTCTCCCTGTTTGAGGATAGAGAAGACAAAAGCAAAGTCATACTTTCTCTCTGTCCTCACTGGCTCTTCCTTTTTTTCTCTCTTCCCAACTTCCCCAAGCCCTCTTTGTTGTTTTTAGCATTTTTCACCAGCCTGCGTTCATGTTGGACCTTACCCTTCCTGACGGCCTTACAAATTTGTGCCAGTTTTTTTTTTTTTTTTTGGTATTAGTCATTAGTTATTTAGTTATTTTATCTTTGAGCCTGGCCCTTTAAAATCTGAAATAAGTGGAGAGCTCCCTGTGTAGCTATATCCATATTTATCAACATTTTACCCTTTTATTTTGCATCGGGCTCATTTGTGCCCAAAAAGTCAGAAATATTTTATGTATAGCCTCTTCCTCCCTCTTGAGATGGCTTTCCCATTAGTCTCAGACCATGGGTCCACGCAAAGCTATTCCTGGTATAATCCTTCTGTTTTGTTGTTGTTGTTTTTTTTAACCATTGAGGCTCAGAAAGGTGAAGGAGCTTGAGCATGTGAATGCTTGGGTATTGGCTAAATCATATCAAACTTTCTGGAGGGCGTGAAGGACAGGGATTGACACAGAGATCAATCAGTCAATCAGCAAGCCTTTACTCAGCACTCACTCTGGACCAGGCTTGTGCTAAGCACTGAAGATACAGAGACAAAAGGGGGAACAGATCAGCAAGGGGTCACGGGGTGTCTGAGACTTAGAACTGGGAAGGACTCCTCAGTGTCCAGATGCAGAGACCGAGGTTCGCTGGTTTGTCCAGAGTCACAGAGGCGGCAAATAGCAGAGCTGGGCTTGGAGCCCAAGCCCAGTCTTGTGGCCCAAACCCAGTGATCTTTCCACTACAAGTAAGATGGGGTACTGAGGAGTAGTCATCCTCTGCTGGTTCAGTCGTTTTTCAGTCGTGTCTGACTGTTCATGACTCCATCTGGGATTTTTTGGCAGAAATACTGCGATGCGGCCTCAGACATGTGACACTTTCTAACTGTGTGACCCTGGGCAAGTCATTTAATCCGTATTGCCTCACTAAAAAGCAAAAAAAAAAAAAGAAAGAAAGAAAGAAAGAGAGAAAGAAAGAAATACTGGGATTGTCTGCTATTTCCTTCTCCAGCTCATTTTATAGATGAGGCAAACAGGGTGAAGTGACTTGCCCAGGGTCACACAGCTAGTAAGTTTCTGAGGCCAGATTTGAGCTCGGGAAGATGAGTCTTCCTGACTCCAGGCCTGGCGCATACATTTATTCTGAAATGTTTGATCCTCCTGCACTTCTGACCCAACTTCTCATTTCATTTTATTTCCTTCTTACTGCTCCCTTTTTATTAGCTCCAAACTTTTTGACCCTTTTCATGCCTTTATATTTACAAGGAAAAGGATTTTTTAAAAAAATCTTCTAAGTAACTTAATTAAAAGAATGTATTATTTTATGTTTGTAGTATATTTAAAAATGTGTTGTTAGTTTTCTTTGCAACTGTGAGGATTGCATCATTATTCACATGTCCATTTTACTAGTGCGGAAATTGGGATAAAGACAAGTGAATTTCATAGAACCAAACAATTCTTGAGTTAGAAGGGACCTGAAAGGGTATCTGGCCTAGCTTGCTACCAGTGTGCGAAACCTGTCTTTCACAAACTCCAGCAAATGATCCTAATAGTAAACATTTTCAGAGTATTCTGAAATGTATTTGAAATGTATTGGTCACGATGACATCATATTCTATAATAACTTTACCAAAATAATTTCTCTTCTATTTCTTTCAAGAATCCAAATTTTATACCTGTTTTAAAGTCCACCACAGTGCCCAGCCAATATAGACATGTTATAAATGCTTGTTGATTGATTGGTTGAACCCAAATCATTATTTCTGATGCAGAGAAAAGAGTAATTCAGACAGAGAAAGTGGCTTTTCTGGGGTTGTGAAATGGCTTGAGTGGCAGAGAGGGTATCAGACCAATATTAGGGCAGACCAGATTATTCAGTTGATCGATAGAGCATTTATTAAGCATGTACTTTGTGCAAGGCACCATGCTGAGCATGGGGGACACCAGGCAGGAGAACAAGGTGGTCTCTCCTCTCCGGGAGCTTACCTTTGAATGGGAAAGACCACAGGTAAAGAAGAGGTGGAAGGGAGATGGAGGGAGCCAGGTGGAATCATTATGATGATCATTAGGCCTCCAGTTAAGGAGGATGCCTCCAGTTAAGGAGGACGCCTCCAGTTAAGGAGGACGCCTCCAGTTAAGGCCCCCTCCCAGGGTGGCTCTCTCTGTGTGGGCCCTGTTCATCAAGACAGCCTCACTCACGGTGCTGTGTCCTTGGCTGTACCTCCAAACCAAACTGCCCAGTGCCACCGTCGATGCCATTCCCTCATTGGTGGGCATGTGGAGGTTCACTTTGATTAGTCATGAGCT